AAATCCATATTGCTGTCAGTACATCGACTCCCGAGGGACGGTCTGCAGTAACAGCAGTGATGAAAAGTTTAGCGGGGATACAGCGATCTCGTGTATTATTGATATGGTTTGCATTGGGTCAGAATCGCTGTCCATTCGTGATTGTTTTCATTGTCAGACTGATGTATCATAACGTCGCAATTTCGTGATGGTATTGCAACTATTTTTGTTGTTGTTGTTTAACGCCGCACTCAGCAATATTCCAGCTATATGACGGCGGTCTGTAAATAATCGAGTCTGGACCACACAATACAGTGATTGACATCATGGAGATCGATCTACGCAATTGGGATCGATGACATGCATCAACCAAGTCAGCGAGCCTGACCATTTAGTCGCCTTTTATGACAAGTACAGTCGCCTTTTGCGGTTGTCGTAAAAGGCGACTAACGACACCATGACATCGACCAGGCAGAGGAGAGCATTGTTGCGAAACTGTGTTTATTTAGAAAGTTCTTTTCACAACAATGAAATCGGTTTATTTGCTCTCCTTTTACAGATTTGTCTAGACGTCGTCGTATGCCTACTGGCCTAAAGTACCACAAATCGCTATGGAGAGTTACGTCCTTTAGCTGTGCCAGGATTCGACGATAGTGCCGTAATACCAGAAACTCCCCGATTATGAATCTTGGTATGTAAAATGGGGATTTAACGTTGCGTGCGGTATTATTTAACTTATATAACGACGCGCATGCACGTGTGTGTGTGTGTGTGTGTGTGTGTGTGTGTGTGTGTGCGTCGATCTACGTGCCTCTTACGGCAAGCATGGGTTGCTGAAGACCTGTTTTCTACCCGGGCACTCAGACTTAATCACTACTCTTTAGACCCGTGATGATTCGGGGTAGAATATATCATCATTATCGTTGTTATTATTATTGTTGTCATTATTATTATTATTATTATTATTATTGTTGTTGTTGTTGTTGTTATTGTTATTATTATTATCATCATCATTATTATTATTATTATTCCAGATACACGTGGCAGCTCCATTAAGACACAAAGCATGAGAGTACGTGCGGTGTTGTTGTTGTAAAGGTCAGTGCAGAAGGTATGCAAGAAGCTAATAGATAAGGCCCAGCGCATCAATATCTCTTTATGGCTGCTGTGTAGAGATACGACTCTGACATTTACTGAACTGATAGTGTTCCATATGTGTATCGTAAACACATACGTCAGCATGACGTGGCGGCGTCAGTTCTCGGACTCAGGTGCAGGCGTTCAGCTACATAACAAGCTCAATGGAGCCCTAATATAAAATCTCGTGGACAAAAACACACGAGAAAAAGATCAAACATACTCTTGCGTCATACGTTTGACTCAAATAATTTTACTCCGACTACAGTCTTGTCCATCAAAGCGGGATGTAAGGTCAACCGTAGACTTGCACAAGTCTCTAAAGCAATAATTATTCGTTTAAATCATAATTTCTAGATTATGTAAATAATAAGGACAAGTTGTCCTTATAAGAGATGTAAGTTCAACTCTAGACTTGCACAAGTCTCTAAAGCAATAATTATTCGTTTATAAGAGACTGGAGTCTTAGTGTGTACTGTCCAAATATCTAGACTTGCCTATTAGGAGGTTGAATTACTATAGATCCATGGACGTTTCTTTCAGTACAGCCTTAGAGCAAGGCGGGGTCAAATCCTGCAGATATATTATTTCAGAGTGTAATTTATGAAAACCGTATTTCATCTAAAAAGAAAGTTGTTGAACCGTGAAGATCCTGGGTAGAATATGTCTTCAGCAACCCATGCTGAAGGCGACTATCCTTGTCGTAAAAGGCGACTAACGGGATCGGGTGGTCAGGCTCGCTGACTTGGTTGATGCATGTCATCGTATCCCAATTGCGTAGATCGATGCACATGATGTCAATCACTGGACTGTGTGGTCCAGACTCGATTATTTACAAACCGTCATCACATAGCTTGGATATTGCAGAGTGCGGCGTTAACCAACACACAAACAAACAATAGCATGTTGACTCCTCCAAACAACAAGATCAATACAGAAACACATATTGTACAATGAGTTTAAATATAAACGTACCATGTTTCAAATTAGAGCTACTTTACCTGTAGATTTAACTGCCGAAAATTTAATTTGGAACGGAACGCGTTGTTTCTGCTAATGCCCGCTAGCGCTCGCTCCACGTTCGCCAAACATTTTGCGTTCAGTACATGATCTTTAATGAAGATTAAACGCAGAACGTAAGGATGCAAGTTACCTCGAATAGTCCTCCAGATATTTTCAGCTAGTATCATCGCCGGCCTTGAAGCGAGAAAGACGACGAGGCAGACGGGGTCAGACATTGTCAGTGTAATGCCAACTGGATAAAATATGTCGATTAAACGAGCCGTAGGTTTCCACTGGAACATCCGATAAACTGTCTGAGAAACATTTCCGATAGAAGATATGTGTACAGGAAAGTTCCACGCCCCCAACAGAATTTGCTGTGTCAGCAGATTCACAGTGTGACCTCCAACTGAAATATGTATGACCTCTAACAGTAATCAATGACCGGCCCCTAATATCCTATAAATATATGACGCCATATTATTCCTGGCAATCTGAGCCACTATTTCAATAATCATGGAATAAATATCCAGACAATTGTTTTTTTTAACCACGATGCATTTCTCCAAGGTCCCAAGAACAACATTCTAACAGTCCCAAGCAATGCCATTTTGGGAAATATGTTTAGTTTGCATAATCCAATATGGCCACCAATTAACAGTATGTTCCAAATGTCAGAGGAGGTTCAACCTAGAGTAGTAAAAAACATGTGTTTTTTTACGATATAGCCATACGATGTTTCCATAAAATATTCGACTACTGACAAATCCACAAAAATATTTCCGGCAGAAAACAAGCGTACTGGTATGTTTCGCGCTTGAAAACACTGCTTTTCCCGAGAATTGAGTGTGCTGACATTTTCAACAAATGCACTATGTGACCTCTAATTAGGCAGATTATTAGTTCATAGGGCGAAATTAAGAAGTGATTACGATCAGTTTAATTTCGTTTGAGGCGTTACTGTATTGTTAAAACACTTATACGGCCTTCAATTTGACAACATATCATTTTGTCGTTTAACTGTTTATAAGGGGCCATGATATCACTGAATTTGGTAGCCTTGCTCCAAGGCTGCACTGAAAGATAAGTCCATGGTTGTGTTGTAATTCTATCGTTATAACAGATAGGATAAGCGGACGCTACAAAAAGCATGACTTTTATAGGGACAACTCGTTTTTATCATTTATATAATCTAGAAATTATGATTTAAACAAAAATATTTATTGCCTTAGAGACTTGTGCAAGTCTATGACTTCCGCCGTGAAAAGGTCAACGAACGTTGTAACCTTGACCTTTCCCCCAGTTCAGGAACTGAAACTGTTGGGTTTTTTTTATTCATTTTCAAATTACATCTGTGGCAATAAATAGAATATTACACTCGCTTCAATTTGATATCAAGTTAATGCTCTCGATAAAACTTGGGAAAAGTTAACATTATGTCACTCGGGACATAAACTTGATATTAAGCTGGTGTAGTTCCTATAAATCTACGACGCCATTTGACAATGTGATTGATGGTAATCTGACGGCATTATCAAATAACAGTGGACTGCAATTCGCCTGATGACTTGAAGGCCGTTTTAGGATAATTCCATAATACTGCGCAAAACAACATTCACTCGTTTGAAATAATGATGCTTTAAGCAGATTGAGCTGCACCTGCTAAACGTTCCACTGAAAGTGAAGACTTGATCGAGTTAACGCAAACGGTTCCTCCAATTCCGCGTACGTTTGATAAGGTGAGGTGAGGTCAAATGGGGTTTAACGTCGCGTCCAAGATTATTGCACTGATATAGCGACGTGCATGTACGTGTGTGTGTTTGTGTGGCTGCTTGAACTAGTCCGGGCCGATGCCGATTTATAGTGCTAGCTCACTGAGATACCATGCCGCAGTTTAACATGAATACCCCACTCAGACACAGTATACTGACTCCGAGCCGACCAGTCCTTGTTTTAGCCCCTTAATGCCGAGCACCAGACAGGGTAACAACAAGTACCATCTTTTAACGTCTTTTGGTATGACGCGGCCGGGAATCGAACCCCGGACCTTCCGCTCTCCGGGCGGACGCTCTACCACTAGACCCCGGAGGCGGTATGTACGTTTAATAATCTTTACGTTAACTGAACCTGCATCTTTTCGATTCGAGAATGTTGTAGAATGTCTTTTTGCCTCCAGCTTGACTACTGTGGATCGTTACAGTTCTACAATCGAACTGGCGTACTTTAGAGTGACGGCAAACGTTATACCTGTGATAAATAATTCAGAATGAAAATCAGGTAGGATATTATAATACCTGTCATACAGTTAAGAAATATTATGCGTTGACATTGTCACTGGACACCTGTTGTGACCACGTGACCCACTGCGGCGTGAAAAGTTGAAGATGCACGTGCAGCACGAGGCCCAGTTAAACAGTTCAACCATCAAGCGTCAAGGCCATGTGATGGGATATTATCGGAATATATAGCATGTGGAATGACATGTGTGCTTTGGCCCCGATTATCAATTGAGCTCCTTAGCTATAAAACAAAACGCTTATCTCAAACCATATATCGGGCGCCTTAATAGGCAACACTGCATTCCGGCGCATTGGTGGACTGAGTCACTCGTGCAAAATGAAGCACCAATTTCTCCAAGTAAATTGTCTCATAATACTTGAGACTTGTGGTACATGAAGAGATTGTTCAAGGATTCTCATAGACACAGATTTTCCAAGAATTCTGAAAGGAATAGACTTTTAAGGATTACCATAGGAGGGGCGTATCCAGGGATTGCCACAGGAAGGGAGTGTCCAAGGATTGCCACAGGGAGAGAGCGTCCTAGGATTATTAAAGGAAGGGAGCGTCCAAGGATTGCCATAGGAAGGGAGTGTCTAAAGATTATGACAGGAAGGGAGTGCCAGAGGATTGCCATAGGAAGGGGGTGTCCAAGGATTGCCATAGGAAGGGAGTATCAAAGGATTGCCACAGGAAGAGAGCGTCCTAGGATTATTAAAGGAAGGGAGCGTCCAAGGATTGCGACAGGAAGGGAGTGTCAAAGGATTATTATAGGAAGGGAGGTTCCAAGAATTACTATAGGAAGGGAGTTTCCTAGGATTATTACAGGAAGGGGTTTTGAAGGATTGCGACAGGAAGGGGTTGTCCAAGGAATGCCACAGGAAGGGAGTATCCAAGGATTGCCACAGGAAGGGAGTATCCAAGGATTGCCACAGGAAGGGAATGTCCAAGGATTCCGTAGGAAGGGAGTATCCAAGGATCGCCACAGGAAGGGAGTATCCAAGGATTGCCACAGGAAGGGAGTATCCAAGGATTGCCACAGGAAGAGAGTGTCCAAGGATTCCGTATGAAGGGAGCGTCCAAGGTTTACCATAGGTAGGGAATGTCCAAGGATTGCGACAGGGTAGAGTCCAAGGATTGCGGCAGTGATTGTCCAAGGACTATTATAGGAAGGGAGTGTCCAAGGATTATTATAGGAAGGGAGGGTCTTAGGATTACCACAGAAAGGGAGCGTCCAAGGATTGCGACAGGAAGGGAGTGTCAAAGGATTACCATAGGGAGGGTGTGTCCAAGGATTACCATAGGAAAGGGGTGTCCAAGGATTGCGACAGGAAGGGAGTATCAAAGGATTGCCACAGGAAGAGAGCGTCCTAGGATCATTAAAGGAAGGGAGCGTCCAAGGATTGCGACAGGAAGGGAGTGTCCAAGGATTATTATAGGAAGAGAGTGTCCAAGGATCATTATAGGAAGGGGGTGTCCAGGGATTACCATGGCAATGAAGTGTCCAAGGATTGCGGCAGGAAGACGGTGTCCAAGGATTATCATGGGAAGAGAGTGTCCAAGCATTCTCATTGTAAGAGATTTTCAAGGATTCTCATAGGAAGAGAATTTCCAAGGACTCTCATAGTAGGATATTTACAGAGATTACCAACAGGAAGAGATTGTCCAGAGACTGTTATGATCACGTCTGTAGAGCGAGACCGAAAACAGAGTGCTGGCTCAGCGATATTTTATCCATGTGTTTCTGCCACGAAAACAAAATATTTGACATTTTAACCGCCAGTGTCGGATGCAAACATATTGATTATCCTCAGTTAGATGGTACCATGGGATACGTACACGCCAAAGGTATCACTCAGAACACCCCGGGGAAGCAGACAGTCGACTGAGTGCATTCAGCAAATATTGATAAATGTGAAAACTACAGACTGAATTAAAACAGTGTTGGCCAGATGATGCAATTAACAGTTATTCCAAGAACAGAATATAGAGAATTAACGCCAGTCAGAAGGAGAATGGCCGCGGCGATGCTGGACGACCACAGCAGCTTTATCACTGAGACAGGTCAATGCAGCACCAACATGTGGGAGGATGCGGCCATTCGGTGAAGGGGAAGACAAAATATATGATTGCTTTTCACAGAGCTTTTCAACTGTCGGGACGGTGACTATGGTTACATAACAAAATCGATATCAAACCATCGTCTCGATACCATAGTGATTGATGGCGGTTCCGCTGGGGGTCGGGGAAAGGGGCTTAACTCTAATTTCAAGTGCGGGACATTTGACCAAAAGAACACGACGTCTTTAAAAATCCGGAAGCTTTAAATAGATTGATTTATATCGGAATAAATGCATAAAAGACGTGTGTTTCGAAAATAATTACAATTGGGAATACTCGCAGTCGGGTCACAACCAGAATGGTGTGGAGCTATGGGGGCATCCATTTGATTCCCGGGGGGTTGGGGGGGGGGGGGGGGGGGTTAAATAATTGTATTGCAAATGCTTGCAGGAATAATGTGCTCTTTTCTTGTAGTCAGATCTCCAAAGAATACAGTTCGTTATTTCATTATATTTCATAGAATTAGTGAGTGAGTGAGTATGGCTTTACGCCGCTTTTAGCAATATTCCAGCAATATCACGGCGGGGGACAACAGAAATGGGCTTCACACATTGTACCCATGTCGGGAATCGAACCCGGGTCTTCAGCGTGACGAGCGAACGCTTTAACCACTAGGCTACCCGACCGCCCCTCATAGAATTAGCCTATTTATGTTTGAAAAACTTTAGTGAGCTCTTAACATTAGGAAAAAAGATGCTGATTTAAAACCAAAACCCATCCCAATGGCTGTTCTTTTTAAACCATTGGGCAGGGTTTTTTTCACAAACATCTTTAATATGAAGGTCAAAAAGGATTCACGCTGGCGACCCAAAACCAATATTTCGCAAATAAATCCAACATTCCAGCTGATGAGGTGAAGATCCGGATGTAGGGGCACCTCGGGGACTGGTGGTGGATCTTTCATCTTTCGACGCCACAGAAGATTCCAGATAGAAATTCTCAATTCCAAACAGGAGACCTCGCGTCCGAGAAAGCAGTGATACCGAACTAAAAACCGCTTGCCCAAGAAACATTTTCAGATCACTGGGGCTAATTTGCGGAGGTCGATGGACAAATTGTTGTTGTCTGGACCAGACAATCCAGTGATTGACATCATGAGTATCGATTCACGCAAATGATCCCGCTAGTCTCCTTTTACGGCAAGCATAGGTCCTGAAGACCTATTCTACCCCGGATCTTCACGGGTCCACTCGCTCTTCTGATTTGACTCGGGATGGTCGGGTAGCCTAGCGGTAAAAGCGTTCGCTCGTCACGCCGAAGAACCGGGTTCGAATCCCGACATTGGTACAATGTGTGTCGCCCATTTCTGGTGTCCCCCGCCGTGATATTGCTGGAATATTGCTAAAAGCGGCGTAAAATCAAGCTCACTCACTCACAGTGACAGCGGAAGGTCGTGGGTTCGATCACCGGCCGCGTCATACAAAAAAAACCCGCCTGGCGCTCGACATTAACGGGCAGGTCGACTAGGAGTCAGTATACTGTGTCTGAGTGGGGTATTCATGTTAAAGTGCGGCATGGTAGCTCAGTGGGCTAGCACTATAAATCGGCATCAGTCCGGACTAGTACAAGCAGCCACACACACACACACACACACACACACACACACACACACACACACACACGTCCCTATATAAGTGCAATAATCTTGGACACGACGTTAAACCCAGTTTCACCCCACCTAAGTAGATGGTGATGTGGTTGATGCGGGTATCACAGTTCTGTTTTAGGCCTTAAGTTGGCAGTGTTTCGGCGTCTTTTTTCAGCCCAATGACGTTGCTCCGTTATATCCAAAGAATCGTTATTGAGTTTCATTTGCAGGAATTCGTCATCAATTATTGATGGCAAGATATGGATATGGCATTTGACATTTTTACCTGTGTGACACAACGTATTTGTTTCGACTGACTACTCTAGAGAGGGTGGGGGTGAAGGGTGTGTGTGTGTGTGTGTGTGGGGGGGGGGGGGGGGGGGGGGAAGGGATTGGGGGGTGGGGGGGGGGGGGGTTCAAGGGGGTCTCACTCGAGTAGACTGCTGGGGGTAGTTATCGTGTCATCAACCACTAATCTTTCTGACCCACCGTGGCATGGCGATAAGAGTTGACTGCGTCGTAAAACACCACTAACTCAGCATACACCCAGGAGTTATGTAAACTGATCGATTCTTGCGTCTAAACAAACGTAAACAATTCATAATTGATTTACAAACAAGCACTTGATTATTCCTATTTTCTGATTAATCTGGCAACCGCAAACGATTACTTTGTTGGTAGAGATTTGTGCGTGTTTGTCACACCATGGTAAATGTTTCGATCAACGATAAGCGGCAAGGCATAATGGACGCGTGTCTGGTAAGTCTTGAGCTGATTAGTGGAAATTGTCTGGCAATCTTGACTGAAGTGCAGTTGCCGGGCAACTGCGTGCGCTAACGCCCGGATGTGTTATGCTCGACGTAAGATGATGGAGAAAATTGGTAATCGTCGTGATTGGTTGTCAGGTGAATCTGAACAGCTTAGTCGGAATCTCTGTTTTATCATACGGATTTTCTCCATGGGTATTAGCGGTGGGGACAAGACCCAGCAACAAATGTTAGTGGTGAGAGACGATGAAATGTCCCGGGTGGTAGGGCTCGGTCACGTGGTTGATTGCGTGTCATCATACCCCGAAAGCGTAGATCGTTGCTTGTGTAGCGGCCATAAAATTTCCGAGTACCGTGATGGGATTCGAACCACGGACCTTCTTATCCGAGGTCGGACGCCTTGTCCACATGACCAAGCTGACAAGGTAAGGATGTCATCTGTGGGATGACTCCACGCCCTGCTACATACTCCCCCGTCAAGGCACGTCCCGGGACGCATAGTAGGGTACTGAGGCTTATTTTGCTCAAATTTAATATGAACGTGCTCAGCCCCACGTTGGGCGCCAATGTATCGGCCATAAAATTTCCGAGTCCCGTGATGGGATTCGAACCACGGACCTTCTGATCCTTGACCTTCTGACGCCTTGTCCACATGACCAAAGAGGTTAACCCCGTAAGCAAGCTGACAAGGTGAGGATGTCATGTGTGGGATGACTCCACGCCCTGCTACAATTGCAGGATCAATCACTGGATTTTCTGGCCCAGAGAGGAAGGTCGGTGGTTTGATCCCGTTTTACCAAAGCCGTTCAAAGATGGTACTTATTGTTACCCTGCCTGGCACTCAGCCTCATGTACAGGCAGACACGCACACACATACATGCACGTGGCTGTATAAGTGCAATAATCATTTCACTTCAAGTCTCTGCATCCCGCTCCCCGAGTTATGCATTATTGAGGCTCCGACAAAGGTTAGAGGTCAAACGTCTAGATGTCTTGCTCTCTCCCAGAAGACGACCCGTGTCAAATAAACGTCTTGCTGCTGCTTCTGCTAAATATATTCTGAAGAAATATGTATTCACACGGCTAAGGTATTTTTGAAAAAATCAAAAAGTGTTGCTGAAGGTTTTCTTATATATCACGCAGAAAAAATACCAGTTCGCTGCACATGTTTTTTGTTCTGCTTCTCCTTTCATGTAAAAAAAACAACTTGTCTTAAAGCAGTGTCTCTAACAAAAAGCACCACCCCCGGGGAATATAACATGGTCCGTTCCTTTGCTGTAGAGTTGATCATTCGAACCTCATCTTCGTACATTAGCTGAACTATTGGGCGGTTCTTTGCAGGTCAGTTGCAAAATGGAGTGGTTCTTTGCAGGTCAGTTGCAAATTGGAGTGGTTCTTTGCAGGTCAGTTGCGCAATGGAGTGGTTCTTTGCAGGTCAGTTGCAAAATGGAGTTGTTCTTTGCAGGTCAGTTACGCAATGGAATGGTTCTTTGCAGGTCGGTTGCGCAATGGAGTGGTTCTTTGCAGGTCAGTTGCAAAAAGGAGTGGTTCTTTGCAGGTCAGTTGCAAAATGGAGTGATTCTTTGCAGGTCAG